ACACCAGTTTAACTATAGACTGGTTAAATTTAAATATAGTTATAGAAAATCTTTTTCTTTAATAGGAGTTTGGTGCAAGAGTCACACAAGCAAAACAAATACGACAAATACAAATAATCTCCATTTCCTATTAAATGAATGAATTAGACACCAGTTAAACAATCAGTTTTGTTTTGTTTTTCCCAAGCAATAAATCAGACTTAAATCATAATTTTGGCTCGTACTACAGAGAGATTAAGAATGAAAACTCACACGCATGACTGCCTCAAAAACAAGCTCCGTGAGATGTGGTGGCATGACCAGCAACAACAAGCTTAAAGTCTACCATGTGGTCACATTTAAATTGTTTCCTAGCCCTTGTAGGTTCTCCTTCGGTCTCCTTTTGAAGTCACAAGTTGTCTAACATTTCATTTAAGTCCACCAACATAACCACATCACCCATGGAATGTACTGTACAAGCCCCCCCAACTGGAGATTATATCTCACCTTATTTTACCCTGTGAACAATGCCGGAATATGTTTATCTCCTGTTAAGCAGCTTATACATACTGTAGTATGAGTATGGTCACTGTGTCATAATCTCACATGTATTTTTTGTCTAATTCCTACAGGTTATCACCATCAGTTCCATTCACAAGCCGAACCCTGGACAAGGACACTGTGTTGGGGTATTATGCTATTCCCAAAGGAGTAAGTGGCTTAGACAGTAGTCGTCATACACCTGACATAAGCAGATTCCATTCTTGTGAAAATTTACATTTGACTGATGTCTAAATGAGTTTTTTTTAGAAAGAAAATCTGTTCATGTTCTCAGGCTTTAGTCTCATTATCTACTATACTGCGTCGTTCATCTGTAAAATAGGGACAAAACCAAAAACTTGTACTTTTTCCTCCATTCACAGACAGTGTTGATGATTAACAGCCATGCACTGGGCTCCAACGAAGAGTACTTTGATGATGGCAAGCAGTTCAAACCTGAGCGCTGGCTGCGCGAGAACAACACCATCAACCCCTTTGCCCACGTTCCTTTCGGTATTGGAAAGAGGATGTGCATCGGCAGACGACTGGCAGAGCTTCAGCTGCAACTGGCCATGTGCTGGGTACGATCAGTGACTAAAACCTAAGTGGTTAGCTCAAGATGGTCCTCAACAAATGCCATTATTTGAACAGTTGTTGATTTTTGCTTGTCTTTCTTACAGCTGGTCAGAGACTATGAGATTGTGGCAACAGATAATGAGCCGCTTGACGTCATCCATTCAGGGCTTTTGGTTCCCAATAGAGAATTGCCTGTTGCCTTCATCAGGAGATGAAGTAAGAACAGTTTTAAATTTCTAGACTGCTTAGGAATTAGTCAAGATGGAAGTGGCACAAAGATTCCCTAAATCACTCTGGCTGGCTACTGTTTGTAGCTTTATTTTAACAGTCTTATGCAGAGCCTGTTTGGACACAGCGTAATCTATGTTATTCTGGGAAGCTACAATTTCCAGATGTTCCCTAAATGCCTCACTTGCAGGCAGTGAGTTGCAGCCAGAACAAACAGAAACACACATGTTGAGATTCAGAGATGTAGACATGATATCATACTTTACATCTAAGTTAGACAACTGTAACTATGAATCTGCCAAATTATATTTTTATTTCCATTTCCATCAAGTTCAGAAGAGCCCTAATTGATCTTTTCTTCCCTTCCAGGCTCTAAATTCAGCTCTTCCGGACTGAGCGACAGAAAGGTGATAACTTTGTTGCTTGTCCCAGTGGTCCAGTGACTCCCTGCATTGCTGCTCTGTAAATAAAATACAAAACAACAATTATTATAACTCTAATCTTACCACAAATACCTCAGACATATTTAAAACTATGACTGTTAATGACTGACCAAAGTACCAGTTGTTATGTACAAAGTGAATATTGTACCAAGGCAGCTGTCCTCAAATCTTTGATCTTAGACATGTAGAATGTAGTCCAAGTATTTTGTTATGCTTTTTATTGTGTATGTGTATATATATATCAATATATATCAATATATATATATATTGATATATGGGTTATGTTTTATGTTTTATTGTATATATAAGCACAATTATAATATTGCAAGATTGTACATCGTTTTTTGAAGAGACTTATTTTATTCATGAAAACAAATGTATCAAATAAATATATCTTTAAACACACCTTTCCGTGTGGAGTTTACATGTTTTTTGTTTCTCCCACCTTGCAAAGATTTGCTTTTTAGGCAAAGCAGTAATTCACAGCTGTGAACATGAAAATGAAATAACTTTCAGCTGGTTAAAAATTTAGTGAGTTATGGTGAATTTTATAACTCCATAAACATGCATTAAGAGACAATAATATAGCATCTACACTGAAGCACAAGATTTAACATCAAGGTCAAGAAGCTAATAAAAAAGTGTGTTCGTGACAGTAAATATGTTTGCTTTTACTGAGTGGTACAAGTACATAGCAGTGTCTCACATATCCTTTGTTTACAGTTTGTAAAGTAAAAGTTAGGTAATAGTAGGCAATGGACCAAACCACTATGAGGTGCATGAGGGGGAGTGCATCTTTCAAAACTAACAAAACTTATTGTTTTTCACCCTTTTGCTCCGCCCCTGCCATTAAAGTGATGGATTCCTCAAATGCACAATGTGAAAAACATGTTACACAATCCTACAGTCTGATGTTTCAGTGGGATTTCTAGTGTTATGAAAGTAAATTATGAAATTATAACTGAACTTAATAATTATAATAAAAGATCAAGTGAAGTGATTTAAGCACTGTTTTAGTCCCTGTTTTTCCCCCCACTGTTTTTAAGTATTTCAGATGGGTTAAACAAAGACAGAATGAGCTTACCTATGCAGGGATCAATAAAAAAACAACAACGCTTAATCAACAATCAATCAATAAACAAAGCCCTGAAGTAACATCAGATTTTCAGTATTACACTGCAAAATCTTCAGTTTAATAAAATAAAATAAAGATCCTGGACTTACATATCCTGTGTTGTACTCAGTGCATTTATTTGACAGATCTGCTTAGTTTTCAGGTCAATGTTTGACATAAAACAAAGTACAAAGCACTCTTAAAAATGAAAAATAGTTTTTGGTTTGGCAGCTCCTCAGTAAAAACCTCCATCTTGTCAGGTCTTTTGTCACTTTATGAGTCTTGAGCAGCTTCAGCAAAGACTGATGATGAACTTCCCTTGTAGAACTCCCAGGTGGTTTCATTTTAAATAACTACTTAAAGTACAAAATATGTAAAACTACTTAATATTTCACACATATGCACAAAGGAGAAAAACCCCAATCCATTATCAATCATCCCTCGTGATCCCTCGTTTTGGCTCGTGATCTCATACATTACATACACACTTACACTACTTTTTGTAAATACTTTTTACTCGAGAATAAGGATCTGAGTTCATATTCCACCGATTGCTGGAACTAGAAATCTCCTGTGAGGACGCTTTCTGGACTGAGAAGGCTGATTACAGGAGGAGTTTCTTACATAAAAAGCAATCCATACACATCGCTTCACTTTTTGATTAATTATTTTCACAAGTGCCATGTGCGCAAAGAACTTAGCTGTGACCTCGGGTGATTTCGATATGTAAACCTGAAATGGTTACTCTGCTCAACAGCGATTATGAACAGTCTCAGTACTCAGGAGAACTGATGGAAGTAGAATACCTTAAAAAAAAAAAATCTTACTTTCTTTATGTAATTTTCATGACAATTTTTTCTATAAATCTCTGCATGTAAAGTAAAATACAATATTTCTGTGACTGAGTGTAGCATTAAAAATTCCCAAGAGGTTATGTTTCTTCCTGAGATTGGTTTAAATGACACATATTAATTACTTATGTAAACAATTCAGATAACATAAATTTCACAAATGCAGGCCCTAGTGAGGATCGAACTCACGACCCCTGGTTTACAAGACCAGTGCTCTAACCACTGAGCTATAGAGCCTGGTCATGCATGCCGAGGCACATAAAACTTGATATAAGAGAGGCATATGAGCAACTAATCGCTATGAAACACAAAACTGCTTTAGATTTTTCCTTTCATATTCATTTTTTAACGCCCTTGGCTCTGTATGATGTCATGGAGGAGGAGGAAGGAGGGGTTCCTTATATGGTCATCTCCGGCACACGGCTCTGGCTGGGGGGAAAAAAACAACCCTACCCACCTGCTGCTCAAAGCCTCTGCTTGGGAAGCTTAATTAAAGGAAAGAAGGGCACGTGGATGAACTGAGGGTCAAAATAAGATAAAGAAGGATTGTTCTGATTTTTATTTATATGTGAATGATAAAGTACTTTAGGGGAGTGTAAGACTAGAATTTACGAGCTAGAAATGAGCTTAATGAATGAGAGAAACCTTATGTCGAGTAAAGTGTGAATTGTGGTTGCTAAATGTTCATCTGCTTTATAACAGGAAGTAGAGCTGTCAAAACCACAACTACAGTAAGTTTATGTCAAAGTGCAGCAATCAATATATTTACGAACGTCTCAAAGTCAAGTTGAGTTAACTTGAACAGCAATTTAAAAAAAAAAAGGGTGTTGGCGGTAATTGTGCAATACGGCCACCTACTGACCAGAGATTGTAAGTACGATTTTATTGGGGCTAGGATCATGGAGAATCGTCTAATTTTCACAGATTTCTCCAACAAAAAATATCGATATGTGATTTCATATTACACATATTTGATAGTAGCTGCACATAAGAACAAAAACAGGTAGAGTTAAAAGAGGTGTGTCAGTCGTAAATTTTATGGTGCCCAGTTGAATAAAATCTTTTGTCTCCGAAAAAAAGATAACTAGGTCGAATACGAAGGAATAAAAGGTGCATTTAAGAAAAGAAAAATGTGTAAAAAAGAATCCGACTTTTATGATTTGATATCAGCAGACGTTATAGATTTTATATCTTAGAAAAAAAATCAGCCTACCTAACTTAGACAGGAAGAGATGAGGCCTGCTTGTCATCATCAGCAGTGACAGGAAGCGTCTGACACCGCTCGTTTTTTTCACCTCGCTCAGTTAGATGTTTTATTTGCGCAGTTTCTAATGTTTTGAACGCATCTGTGAAGTACTGTAACTTCGTCCGTTGCGTTAATTATCCACGCTGCGCCTTAATTAAAGTGACGATTTATTTGAGCAAAAGCTATTACAACAGTTACGTTCGTCGGGATTCAAACCTGTTTATTCCGAGCTGGAGATGACTTCTGGAGGTTTGGGGCTCACCGAGGGCCTGGGCCAAGACATAAACCAAGAGGAGTTAGACTTTTCGGACCTTTTTCTGTATAATCAACCGGATTTTTCTGTTGGCTGTGATAAAGGTGTGTATACATAAATTGCATATGCATTTTTCTAAACATAGTATCTTATTATTTATTTATTTTTTTTAAAGGCATTTCATGATCTTATTGCCGCCAAGCCCACGTTTTCTCAGCTGAGGATGCGTCTGTAACTACTGTGTTGTGTTTTATTTTTATGAAAATTTAGCTCCCAGACCTTGACATTATGACATTATACACTGATCGATAATCATCATCCTTTTGTTTTTAATCTAAGATCAAGAGGGCTTCCAAGACCCTTTTTTCTATTTTTGAATGGAAAGTAAACAGGAGTGCGACAGATTATAGTTAAGTAGATTCAAAATTAAGCGATCCTCATAGTACCATGAATGGTTTGTTTTTTTTGGAATATGTATCTGCAAGCCTCTTCATTTTTGGCATCCTGACTAAAACCAACACTTGTTCAGTATGATAGTAATAGCTTTACTGGGGAGAGGAAACGCAAAACCAGCTCTCGCATCCCCAACATTGGCATATTCTCAATTTATAGATTTTTATTAAGAGAAAATGTTGTTCAAACATGTTTTAGGTAAAAAAAAACAAAACAAAAAAAAACTTTAAAGGGAACCGATTATGTTCATTTTCAGCTCCATATCTTTATTTTTGGACTCAACTATTGTAGCTTTGCATGATTAGGAAAATTTAAAAAATATTATTCACAAAATAATCGTGTTTTACTTTATATTCTGCCTTCATGCAGCGCCTTGCTTCATCTTCTCTCTGAAATTAGGTGTTTTAGGTGTCTCTTCCTTTAATGCCAACTTTTTCTGAGTTGCTGTCCCAAACAAAGTGTTTAAAACCGAAAACCGGTTAGGCTCTGTGCTGAAGCCAGAGCCATGTATTTGAGGTGACCATATTAATCATTAATCTGCTCGCATGGATATCATATAGATGCAAGAATGAAAAAAGTGAAGTGTGTTACTTCATATTTGAAACACTGACTATCTTTAAGTCCACTTTAAGTTACCACATGGTAATAGCAGTATTGTAGTAATCAGATATTCTGACCTGTGTGCTAAAATGTGTCCCTTCTTTGATCAGTGACAGATGACACTGGTGGTCTCCTTGACAATGACAGTCAGCCTCCTCTACTGGTGGTCCAGCCTCAAGATGCATACATCTCCACCTCTAACCCACCAACTTCTAACCAGGACACCTCCTCTCACAGCACCAACGCAGGAAACCTATCAGGAGCTGTGTTTGACACCATGGGGCTGACATCACGAGTCGGTATCCCTGCTCCCAGCCCCAGGATTGAGATCACTCCATCTGGTGACTCTCTCAGTTCACAAACCCTAGAGCCAAGTCCTGCATCTAAAGCCCGGGGATCCTACAGAGAGTGCGTTAGCCCTGCCAGCAGTAATTCTTCCACTGGCTGGGGAGCAGATACTTACTCTCCCTTGGCATCTCCATGTGTGTCGCCATCTAATGTAGGGAGCTGTGGTATGGGCTTGAATCCCTTGGACCTCTGCTCAAGCCTGCAGGGCATCCATACATCCTCTAACCACTCCTCTCCAGGAGCCTCACCTCGAAACAGCATCACGGATGAGACCTATCTCCAACCACAGAATCGTTCTGCTTCACCACTCCCCCATCAGCGTTCCCGGTCTGTCTCGCCGCAGCGAGGCAAACGCTTCTACGGTCAGACCCACTCTAGTCAGGAGGGCACTCCTGTTAAGCAGCGCTCCCGGAGTCCTAGCCCCATCCCATCACCCCACGATCAGCAGGGGTCCTACTACTTGCACCAATACCAGGCTCAAGCTGAGTTTCACCCTCAAGTTCAGACCGCAACCTCTGGCCTGGACGAGATTCTGAATAGCAGTCCAGGAAGGGCCAAAATACAGGACTGTGTATATGGCGAGGGTTACGACTGGGCTATTGAGCAAGAAAAGATGAGTAGGGGTGGAGCTGAGATCAAACCTGAGACCTTCTACATGCTCCCAACTGTGTGGCCTCCTTCTCATTCACTCCATCATAGTGGACGATCCACATTCAGGTGTTATGTTTGTCTTAATTTATCACTTACAAGAAATATGTGTCGTTTTTAATGAGTTTTAATAAGCTACTATGGTACAAGGTTCGTTTTGATTTTTTAAATCTAAACTTCTCTTTTTTGAACTCTTTCGTTCTTCCAGTGGTCTCACCTTGGCTCCACTTCCATCTTTAGAGTGGTCATTTCCCAATCAGACGGGCCAGTATGAGCTACTGATCCAACAACAGCCCAGATCGCATCACAGAGCTCACTATGAGACTGAGGGCAGCCGAGGAGCTGTCAAGACACCAAATGGAGGGCACCCGGAGGTTCAGGTGTGGGGATTCATATGTAGATACAAGAAAGGAGAGGAAACGAACGCGTGGTAGTTGTACCAGAGAGAGGGAGTGGGAGATTGTAAATGCTGGGGTGATATTTCCTGATAAACGTCTTTGTGTAAAGCTGATACTCATGCAAATATAGAAACAGCCCCATAACATGTCAGTGCTTCCACAATGCATGTGTGATTATTTAGACATGCATTGATTCAATCTGCTCAAATAAACACAGTTATAATTACAAATCAAGAACCCACAAAAAGAGCATATAAATGTTAGTGCATGGTGTCCTTTATTTACTGTTTCTGGAAAGTAAAAAAATGGGCCTCCATTACCAGTTTTCCCAGTCATGCTACACAAATGGATTATGCAAAGCAGTGTTCTGGCTTTGCCAGTTTGCATGGGAATTCTTTCCCACAGACACAAGAGATTTATTGTGTGGTGTAAATGTTTTCTCAAAAGGCATGGACTTTTATGATCTCAAAGTTTATTTAGTTCAGTATGAAGCATACATTTTAACTGCCCTTGTTGCTGTCACCAGCTCCGTGGCTACCAAGGCACATCCGCACTGGCGCTGCAGATCTTCATTGGAACAGCCGATGAGAGGCTCCTGAAACCCCACGCCTTCTACCAGGTCCACCGCATCACCGGGAAGACCGTCACCACACCCAGCATGGAGAGGATGATCAACGGCACTAAAGTGTTGGAGATCCCTCTGGAGCCAAAGAGCCACATGAGAGTTGTGTGAGTAAAATTAATGCCAAGGGGATTCTCAATCATACGTCACAAATGCCTAGAGTATGTGTCAACATTTCACCACAAGTCGTTCACTTGTGTTTTTCAACCAAGAGAGACCACTGAGGTGATTTAGCACTATAAGGCTCAGAGTGGAGATACAGCAACCTGAGTCGTCATGTGTTTTCTTTTGATTTTCCACTGTGCTAAATCTTTAAATACTACAAGCTATAGCTACGCAAGGTTTTCATCTTTTTCCCTCCAAAAATGTTGCTGCTGCTGACAACTGATACATAAAACGCACCACTTCCTGTGTGCCAGAGAGTTTTTCCAAGAAAGACCTAGCAAACTCTGGGTGTTTGCAGCAGCAACCAAAACTGGTTTGATGAACGTGACATATGATGAGTCACAACAGCAAATAGCAAACAAAATCAAAGAAGTTTCTTTTTCCATGAAAATGCCTGAGATCACTACTTTGGCTGCTTTGAAAAAAAAAAGAGCTTTTTACTGACTGAATATTTGAAATAGCAGAGATTGCATCAGTTAAATGTGAAAAAAGACAGTCTGCGTGGACTGTGAAGAAAATCAAGTTTTTTATAAATACGACAGAAATATCATTTTGAGCACTGATTTTATGTCATATGTCTTCTCTTTCATGATAAAGGATTGACTGCGTTGGAATCTTGAAGCTGAGAAATGCTGACATTGAACTAAGAAATGGAGAGACTGATATTGGACGAAAAAACACACGCGTGCGCTTGGTCTTTCGTGTCCACATTCCTCAATCTGGAGGCCACCTCATGTCTCTTCAAGTGGCCTCTCATCCTATTGAATGCTGTAAGAAGTATTTTGTTGCATATGAGCGTTTTCTTTCTTTCTGCTTGATCATGAGAGTCACTGTAGACCCTGAAGCTTTGTCGGCTGCTCTGTATTTTTGTATTTATATTCTTTCTCATTAGCTTTTGGTGGTTGATGTTAGCAAATGTTGGCAAACATGTTGGTTTATATTATTTAACATTGACACACCACTTGTAGATGTATTGCTGACTGCTCAGAAAAAAGGTACTAGCCTTAATGTGAATGTTCTTCAGTCTATAATGGTCAATAGTGCAACTGACTTGGATTTGATCCCACTATACAGTATACTTTAGTGTTACAATGACAATAAAGCTGCTCATGTTTTCACAGCTCAGCGTTCAGCTCAGGAGCTCCCTGCAGTCGAGAGGCAGGACCTGGACCAATGCTCTGTACTCGGTGGTCAACAAATGGTCCTTACTGGACAGAATTTTACATCTGACTCAAAGGTGATATTCTCGGAGAAAACACAAGGTGAGGAGTATTTTTTTTTAATCACAAATGTCTGTCTTTGGTGGAATGAATCTTCTAAGGTCTTCTTTGAAAGCTACTGTAGAAGAGCCACCCAAAGATTGTATTGGTAGTTTGTAAAGGGTAGATGTGGCCCCTGTGCTACACTGCACATTGTTTACTGAAGGGGAGCTTGAGCCAGCAATTACCACATGTAGCCAGTTAGCATCAAGGCTTAACAATTTTGTTATTTTGTTGTTATTATTATTATTATTATTATTATTATTATTATTATTATTATTTTTACCTGTATTTATACAGGTTATCCCATTGATAGTCAATGTCTCATTTACAAGAGAGAGACATGTTACATAATGTTTAAATGGGTGACTAACAATTGGTATGGTACTTATGACTTTATTTTATTTCCCCTGTAAATTTTTAACATTTTAACAAAGAGGTCTATAGGGACTAACTTGTTTTTGCAGCCACGCTCAAAGGAACTTCAGTTTTAGGCTAAGAGGTTGAAGCCCTCATATGTGATATTATGGTACTTCACAGTTTATAGACTCAGAAAGAAACAAAAAAAATCTCAGTAAAGCTCATCAAAACATCATATTTCTGTTGTTAATCGTTGGGTTAGCCACTCAAAGAAAAGTTCAAACTTGAGTTTACAAAGCCGAATGTTGGTGGTAGTAGTCCATACCCTTTGTAATTACTGTAAAAACGCACAAATAACACGGGAATTTTATTTAAAATGTAGAATTATTCCCAAGCTAAGACAAAAGTGCCAAAAACTGCAGTTCCTCAAGTGGTGCCTTCGAGGCATGCTTTATGTAACCCACTTTAAGTATTATATGTGTTATTAAGGGCAAAAAAATATGGAGGAGACAAAGAAGCAAATTGGATTGTCTACAAAGCATAAAAGTATAAAAAGCACAAACTACTAATTACTAACTTTATTACTTAGATAAATTCAATATTAATAGCTCTGAGCTAAAACAAAATGAAAAAGATGCACATTAGTACAGTTATAATGGGTTTAATGATACACCTTGTTAGCCAAACATGTTAGCCTTGGCCGCTAACTTTCACTGTATCCTCCTGTTCAAATATAGTCCCTTATAGTTACAAAAAAAATTTAAAAAAATTACTGAGGCCAGAACAACAAACTGAAAGTTTACAAACTAATGTGTGGCATCACTGTGGCTATTTCTATCTTTTATCTACAGTCCATAATTATGTAATTAGAAGGATTGTTGACATGTGTGTTCACTTGTGATTTCAAACTTTTTTTCAGATTTTTATTTTTTTGAGGATTTAAAATTGAGCCTGTGTTGGTCTCCCAGTATCCCACTTACCTGTGTCCATGTACACGTGCAGTATTTGTATTTTTAGATTATTTGCATATCACCCAGGATAACTCAACGTTCAGTGACGCACTTCTTCCTCCAGCCCCCACATCTACCTTTGATAAAATTAACCATTAACTTAAACATTTACTGTTTTGCTGGCAGTAGCAACTTTTATTTACTTCTAAATGGAAATTTCTCACCTCGTCACTGCTTGTTCTGCCCACACAAAATTGTAGGGTTACATAGTTTGAGAGAAGGATGGGTACAACTGAAAGCATGTAAAGCCTCCTTGTTGCTTGGCGTGGGGTTTTATGCAACAGGATGTGGTTAGACAGACTGATAAAGACTAAGACCCAGAGCAGAGGCTTTGTGTTTTTCACTGTGTGGGTAGAAAGCAGAAACAGCAGGTAAAAACTTTAGATGGGAATGAAACACTAAACCAGACATAAAAGAGAACCCTGTTTTCCACTGTCTGTGACAAATGTGCTTACTGTACTGTTAATAAAAGTCCTGACATATCATCTGATTGCTTGAATTATTGTTTCCAGCTGATTAAACTTGTAGAAATTGTTTGGTTTTTTGCTACATTTTTGGTTTCTACAGGATTCTTTGCCACTTCACCACCACATATAATTTTGTGGTAAAAAATAAAACTACTCTCAGCAGCTTGTGAGCCTGTAGTAAGATGAGTAAGATGGTAGCAATATCTGCCAGCCACCTCCAAAGCCATAAAATAGTCCAGCACATAAACCACAACTCTTTTGAATGAAGCAAATCAAATATAAAATGCTATTTACTGAGCTTTAGAGTCTTAGTGATGCAGTCAGTAGACCAAGAGTAGACCACGCTGTTTAGCCCTTATGCTAAATTAAGCTGTGCTAAAAAACAAACAAACAAAAAACAACAACAACAAAAAAAACCAGATAACACGTATTTTCCAAAATGGGACTCAAACCTGCAAAAACTATTCCTTTTAATTTCAGATGGACAGCAGATCTGGGAAGTGGAGGCCACTGTGGACAGAGATAAAACTCAAGCTGTAAGTTAACTTCCCTTTTACTGACACATAAACTATGATGCACATTTTGTAAGATGCATGCTAAAGTCATTTGTCTGGTAACTGTACATGCTTACACGTGCTCAAAACAGAAATCAAAATGTAAAGCCCGTGTCTTCAGTTTACTGAGTACATGAATGTGCTAATCGCATATCATCGTATCATAAAAGTGTTATTTCTTGTACTAATTTTGACCTGACAGGTAGAGATTTGTGCCAGCTGACTCGTGACCTTTTTTCTCATTCTATCAATAGAACATGCTGTTTGTTGAAGTCCCTCCATATCGAGACCGGAGCATTTGCCAGCCGGCCAAAGTCAACTTCTGCGTCATCAATGGGAAAAAGAAACGCAGTCAGCCTCAGCACTTCGTCTACACTCCTATGATAGGTGTATATCTCTTAGTCATCTCAGCTCTGTTATTACGGAGAAAACAGGCGTACCTCCTATGTTTGAGAAATAGGAAGGTGATTCAAGTGTCAACATTTCCCAGCCTGGATTTGAATTTGAATTTGAATGTCAGCACTGGAAATCTTATTATTACCTTGTCAGCATAATGTAACCCTGCATGTGAAGTAAAATACTATATTAATCCCATTTTGGGGAAATTCTTCTGTTACAGCTGTTGAAATAACATTAATAATAGTAATCTGTCAGATATCTTTCTGCGGGAGAGATATATTGTATTATAGCACTACATAACTTATGCTAGCAAATAATGACAAAAAAACACCATAAAAAAAACATAAACTGACTTTGATGTTGCTAAAAGAGGCAAATGTGTGCTAAGTCATCCATCAGCGATGAGAAAAAGCAAAAGAAAAGTTACAGGAAATTGCAAAATGTTAGTTAGATTAAATCTGACAGTTCTAAAATTTTAACCCCAAAAGTAGATTAATGCAGTTACAAACTTCTGATATAACACTCCTGTTCTGCAGTTTTATCAGAAATCAGAAGTTAATCAGTTATAGCAACACGCTGACATTGCAGCCACAACAGAGACTGCGTAGGGGTTGGGGGCAAATCTTACTTCTTCTCAAAGGGAAAAATAGTTTTCCTTTTTAACGCCTACATGTGATACCCACATTACAGCGCCGACACACTCTGGCTAATTTCAAAAAAAGGCTTTTAGTTTATTGGTTTATATATATATATATAGATATATATTTATAGCTTTTAGGTGAAATGAGGCAAGATTATTAAGAAGTAGAGAAAGAAGCGTAACATCATTGCAGCTGACAATTTAAAGCCATTTCAATCTACACTGATTTATACTCCAGCCACTGGTTATGAAACCTACATGTGTTTACTATCACCAGACCTAAAGATGACTGGAGATGCAATGACTTGTTTTTTTTAGGTCACACAATCACTGAAATAACTCGAGAGCTTCTAAATACGCTGGCATTAATGTTCCTTTTGTAAATATCTTCTTCCCATTTTATACTAGCTGAGTTGCTGTGACATTTCAGTTAATATACTGTATTTAAAGTCTCAAGAGAACAGTTTCCAGTAAACTTGGTTTCACCTTGTCTAATAACACAATACCTGCAAAAACTACTGGCATTTACATCATCCCTATGTTTACTCTGTAAATAGGAAAGTAAGTACTAATCAGCAAATGTTAGCATGCTAACATGCAAAGTAAGATGACTGTGGCTGTTTGTTTATACTGGTCTAGTGACAGACCTGCATTGTTCTCTCACTCTCTGAAAAATCTAATAATAATTGTTTTTATTTTTCAGCCATTAAAGCAGAACCACTGGATGACTACCAGCTGAATTCTTATGGCTATTCAAATAATCAGTCTCTCTCTGGCATGTCAATGAGGTCTCTGTACCATCCCCTGGAGCAAGACAACAACCTTCAAGCCTTGAATGTTTCCTCAGCACTTTACCATCTAACCACTGTAGACCCCCGAGCCCACATGTTAACCCCAGATCAACTGGATGATCAACCAGTCTATTACCAGTCAAGACCTGGCACTCTGGTCAACAACCCAGTGCTGTACCACACTGGGAATCAGCGTTACAGCAACTGCAGTAGCGCTTTACTAGGTGGTTCCCCAATGGCTCCGCATCCAGCCTCTGCTCCCAGCCAGTGTGTCAGTGCCAGAACCCCTTTGCCCAAATTGGGTGAAGGTCCTCAGGTTGGTGATTCGTTTGACCCTTATTCAATGTCAAGTAATCATGGTTACATGCAGACAGCACTACCACTAGGAAAGTCGCCACCTCTGAGATACATTCAAAGTCAAGTCCAGGCAAAGGTTGGAAGTCGGGTGGACCCAGGTGGGCAGCCTCTGGCCCAGATCGCCCCTGCTAGAGGAAACCATGAGGAACGAGCTCCAGAGAAAATCATGATCAAACAAGAGAACCTCAGTTATGCCTATCTGGAGGATGGTGAGTATAATGTTATGTACTGCTTGAATGCTTGAATGCTTGAAGTCCTCCTGACATTTTTTCCACCATGGAATTATGCCTGACAGTTTTTTTTAACCTTTCCATCGAGAATTCCCACTTCACCCAGGAATGTCGGCAAGGTTTAATCCTTTCTGAATCTTTATATATGTAGTTTTTTTTGTTTGTTTGTTTTTAATATATTTGCGCACAGATAAGTCAGCCATACTTTGGGAAGGGACTGAACAAAAATGTTTGCTGTTATTGTGTTTATAAATTTAATGATTCTTTGTCATGAGGATAAGCTTTTCACCCCCACCTCCGAGTGTAACCACTGTGATATAAACACATTATTAAAAAAGTGCATACAAGGTGCAGCAGTTAGGTGAAATACTGAAGCCTTGTGTTTGTGGTCCAATTTGCAGTGCATACAAGCATATTGCAACTGTATGCTTGCAAATCCTGCGTTGTGGTTTTCTTTAGGGCCTTTCTCTCCACTTTCCTGTCTGTTTCAGTCTTACTTTCACTGTCTCATTTCACACACTCATGCAAGCACACACGCTTATTAAAGTATCACGGGCTCACTTGAAACTTGGTATGACCCAAAGCACTTTCCTTAGAGTTTTTGCTGTGTTTGTAGATAATGAATGGGGAAACAAGCAGCGGCACTGCTTTGAAGCAACCTGACCTGCTTTGCTGTGGAAGAGTGTTTATGTTTACACATCCGTAGCTGAGGGAAGATACAGAAAGTACATGGTACAGGCAAATACATGCGGATACATTTACATCCATGGTTAAAAAAATAAATAAAAGCACTTTGTTCTTGTCTCTGATGTAGACTTTACATTTGGATGTTGTTTCTATCAGAGGTAAGGATGTAACATCCTGAAATCATTGATAAGTGTCGATAAACCCATGTTGCGTAACAGAGAGATCTAGTGGACGTAAATATAACTGCAGCCATGCAAAGTCACGATTAGACTGATTTATGCTTAAAATTAGAACATTTTTGGGGAGGACTGATGGCTGAGGCCTCCAGAGTGCAAACCACGACCCACAACATTCTTTCAAGTTCAAGTCTAGTTGAGGTCTTTTGTTGTATTTCCCACAACTCCCCATCCTTTCCTGTTATTCTCTACTATCTACCTTTAATAAAAGCATAAACTGCCCCCAAAAGTCTGACTATGGCAACACCTGGTGGTGGGAACAAATAAGGCACTTAAGGTCCTCTCACCCTTCAGATCAAACTTGAGGTTTGTTTTAAGAATTTAAATCTTTGCAATTGGGCTTTAAAAACACTATCTATCTATCTATCTATCTATCTATCTATCTATCTATCTATCTATCTATCTATCTATCTATCTATCTATCTATCTATCTATCTATCTATCTATCTATCTATCTATCTATCTAGATATATAGATATATAGATATATAGATATATAGATATATCGATATAGATAGATATAGATATAAAAACACCCAGCACGCCCCTGCGGGCGGTTTATCCTTCAAGCTCGGGTCCTCTACCAGAGGCCTGGGAGCTTGAGGGTCCTGCGCAGTATCTTAGCTGTTCCCAGGACTGCGCTCTTCTGGACAGAGATCTCCGATGTTGTTCCCGGGATCTGCTGGAGCCACTCGCCTAGCTTGGGAGTCACCGCACCTAGTGCTCCGATTACCACGGGGACCACCGTTACCTTCACCCTCCACATCCTCTCGAGCTCTTCTCTGAGCCCTTGGTATTTCTCCAGCTTCTCGTGTTCCTTCTTCCTGATATTGCTGTCATTCGGAACCGCTACATCGATCACTACGGCCGTCTTCTTCTCTTTATGGCAGAAGAAGACGGCTCGCAAGTTCGATTCCTGCCTGGGGCGTCTGTATCCAGTAAGGGTCCTAAGGCTAGACCCCCTATGCTAAGCGAGCCTACCGCAGACATGAGCGAGACAGATAAATATGAAGGCATGCCGGCTCGGACGTCGCCCGGATCAACAAGGTCCGCGTCAGGTGTTGAGGAACCAGGGCACCCTGACGAAAAGTGGGCTACTGGAACAAGAAGGCATCGGTGGGCAAGAGACGAAAACAGGGCGTTGTTGGAATGCTACTACGCAAGTAACCCCGGCGCAAGGAAGGGGCTACATGAATAGGATGAGGGACCTATGGAGATATATATATATATATATATATATATATATATATATATATATATATATATATATATATATATATATATATATATATAATCTGCATAGCATTTAAGAATAATAGAAATAAGCAGCTCAACTTGCATTTTTGCTGCAAATATGAAAGTTCTTAATCCCTCTTTTCAATGTTTTCCAGTGAATGACATCATAAGAAGAGACATGAGAGGCCACAATGGAGAGTGATCATGCTGATCTGAAGCCACTCAAAGTTTAAGCATAATCTGTAGACATCAAGAACAAGAACAATAAATCTTCAGTAACTGTAATTTAAGCGAAACGATAGAGACTGATCCGTTATATACCATATTTCTGTACAACTTTGAAGGGTCAGCTCCATTTCCATTTTGTTATCATATATTTCAGCCTTAGTAACAATACTGGATCATATATTCATTATACTCTTTTATTTTAACTTGTTTAACTTCTTTCTGTTTATACAGTTGTAAAATTGCTCGTTGTAAGCTTGTAGAAAATTTTTTATATTAAACAAATTCTTTGTATATGAATCATGGTGTTTGAGTGTTGACTTACTGACTGTAATCATTTTGTTACATATAGGAAGCAGAAGGAACTAAATAATAAATGTGTACCTTTTTTAAGTAATAGAAAATACACAGCACTGTGCAAAAGCCTTGAGCTAGCCCTCATTTCTATATATTTTTGTAGGAAACTGAAAAACAGGTGAATTTATTGAAGCATACAAACATAAATGTAAATACAGTATATAAGGCAAAAACAGAGGTTGCACAGTTCTAATCAGCTTGAAAGAAAGTCAATATTTGGTATGATCACTTTTTTTCCTCAACACAGACTGAACTCTCTTAGGCAGCTTTCTTGTAGTTTCTTTAATTAGTCTTCAGGAAAAGTTCTCCAGGCTCGTTGAGTGGCATCTTTTACTGCCTTTTTGTTTCATTCTCTGCAAAGATAATTTCAAGCTGAATGTTTAAAGTATTGTTTTAGATTTATTTCGGGTTTAATTATTCCATTATTTGATTGTAAACAGGAAAGCTATTTTGCAATGTAGGTGGCAGCAATTAAAAGGTATTAAAAGCATTTTGCATCTGAACTCACGTATTAATATCATGACTCACATTTTGACTGTCTCCTTTTTACAGAAGTAAATAAGGAGAAACCTGATGACATAAAACGGTTTTAATAACCGTTGCAATAGAAAGAGGGAAAACGAGAGTGTGAAAGGACTCATTCGTGCTCATATGAACTTGGAAAAACTGCATAGAAATGCAGTAATACTACATGCAGCGATACTAAAAAGCACACTTGAGAGAAAATATTGGCGGTAATTATCTTGATTAGCAACACTTATTAACTTTTACGCTTCATCTTTGAGGCGAGGCTGTAAAATATTTAGTGGGTGAAAACCTCTCGAGTTTTTTGGATGGAAACTTATTTCCTGTAAAGCAGTGGCTCTAAAACAGCCATGCATCATCGCTGGTGAAGCACAGAAACTCTGCTTGGAGAAAAAAAGAAGCGTTTGCCACCTTGATGACATTTATTTCACCAAATTTATCTTAGATTTTTTTTTTTGTCTTTTCAATTTATTTATTGTTCACTGTGGATAAAATCTCTCCGCAAGGATTAAAAATATGAAAAATAAAATAAAATAAATAAAAACTCTTCTCCACGAACGTTAGAGGGTGTTGTTTTCAAGCCAATCCTCTATCGGAGCGGAAGGAGATGGCGGATTTATGATGTCATTTCCGACAAGTGATTTATTTTCTCTCCCTTTGTGAACTACTTTAGCTTTTTTACGTTAGAAGAACTGACTTTGGTGTTTGCATTCCTGTAGCGGTAAAACGAGGCAAGTACTTCCATCACTGGTGAGCTTTTTCCCCCCCACTTTCCGCTCTCGAACACTGTCTTGCCAAAGTGCTTCGCTACATTGTAACGCTGTGAGTGTGTGGTAGCTAGGCGTATCCACAATAAAGTAAATATATAAAGTAAGCATGAAATGCGTTTATGTTTTAGTCCGTTTGAGTACAGTGGAGCAGAGTGTCTGTTTCATTCACATTTTTAAGAGAGTCTATTTAAAAAGTGGCCGCTATGAGGCAGAGTAACATCTCAACACATAATCTCTCTCTCTCTTTCTTTTTAATGCACCCTGTCGTCACTTAATGGTTTACATGTCTTTCTTCTACCGTTGCTCACGTTGATTTCACAGGCAGGTCACCGGAGGAAGCGTAACAGAGCAGGGTCATCATGTCTGCAGAACTGGACTTGTCCACTCCAGAGATCCCTGAGCCTACCCTGCTAGAAAGCATACTGCGCTATGGGTTGTTTCTCGGTGCTATCTTTCAGCTTATTTGCATCCTGGCTGTCATCTTCCCTTCATCCAAGGGCCACGAACAGGTGGGTCTTATAGAGAGGTGTGCTTGCTTGCCCATCCTGAGGGGTGTACTGTGAAGGAAGTTCTGCATAGTCAGGCTTTCTTTGTGTTATCTGAGTATCACTAGAGCAGTTATCCACCGGCTTTGGTAACTGTGGTTTTCTGTTGACATGAAAGCCCAACATTTCTGAAATCGTGATCATCAAGCACTCTCTGTGGTCAAAATAAATGTATGCTTCATCTCCAGTTATGTTTATTTTACTGTTCTGTGTGGTTTTGTTGTTACAGTTTATTTCAGCTGCACAATCCAGCTGTGAGGCTTTTGGTGCAAGTAAATGCTACGCACGGCTAAGACTCCTCCAACTTAATAAAAGGGACAGTGAATTCATTTCAGTTTGTCGCCAAAGTGAAAGTAAAATTACTGACTGAGTAGGTTGTTTTAGTGATGAATAGCCAACAAAAGGAACAAATTGATTTTCTAATCTGTGTTTTAGTAGCTGCAGTTCCTTCAGTGTAAAAGCAGTAGGACCAAATATTAAAAAAACATTCATACACTGTATGCATGCAAATTCTCATGACAATGGTTTATAACAAGCTTAAAAGAGAGCCATCTTCATCACACTGAACACTCTGACATTAAATTTAACAGAGCTCGGTAACCCATTGATCTCTGCATACTCCTCCCCTCTGGTTTAGCTTGGGGTAAGGTTGGTTTCATTGAGCATCACAGGAAGGATGTGAATAAGTCTGGGCTCAGGTGAAACAGAGAAGGATGCACAAATCAATAGAACTGAAGCACAATGCAGACAGTTGAGTCAAATTGTCACTGTACACCATATGCCCATCCTGATGTTTTTCTTCTCTTTCATGAGCACCCAACAACTGTTATTCTCGGTTGTTACACACGATGTTATTTTTTTCTTCATTCTTAGAATGACAGTATGAGTTTGAGGGGGTAAAAATTGTAGGTGTATTAGAAATACATTAGGAAATGTCTACAATTGCATGCGCATTTGTTACATCACAGTTAACTTATTCTATTCCCATTTTTAAGGAGATATTAATGTGTAATCATCAACCTAATTTACACTGTTTAGGCTATTTTACTCTGCTTTAGAGTGATATATGGTATAGAGGCTGTGCTGTAACACCACACAGATCCATCATATGTCTTTTGTTATGTCACAGAAGAGTTTAATTGATTACATTATGGTTTCCAATGAGTTAAACACATTAACGTAGTTATACTATGGAACAGCTAATGTTAACATTAGAATACTGAAAGTAAAATAATTTAATTTTTATTATATTTTGCCTGTCACATTTAGAAGTTGATCTAAAAAGAAATGCAGAGAAACTGGGCGCCACTTAGCAAGTGTAGTGCTGAGTCTCTTGTTTTAGAAAGTCTGTGAAGACGGGGCTACTTTCACAATCTCCATAATAACAACTGTCAGGAGAGATTATTTATAGACAAAAGCAATTAAATCCACTGTCAAATTACTCTATTTTCAGGCATCATTATCAGATGCACTGATTACTCTCCACAGTATGTCGCCATTTCATCTTTTTTACAGCAGCCTGCTATCGTTCCTACCCACCAGAACAATGGGAAAGATTACACTCACAGAAACTAGGCTGGCAGAAAATAAAAAGTGCTGAAAAATGTCAGTTTCTTTTGTCTGCTGTGTACAGTATTTGTCTGGGAATTTCATTCAACTGTCTGTTAATACTGCAATAGTTTAATGTAGAGGTGGAAAACTGCAAACTGTATAAACAGCATTGAAAATGTATAATACTTACCCCATGTGGATGGGAAGTCAAATTAAACGCACTCTTTATGACAAGTTTAACATGGGGGAAAAATGATGAATAAAATGACATTAGCATTATATTTACTAGTTATACATGAATCAACTGGCTGTCAGTATGTAAAGTGACCTAAATAGCCTCTAACTTGTGAGCTACATCCTTCTTTCAGCTGCTCCAGGGTTCGGCACTCTGGTGATCTGCCTCCATCTCTTCTATTCTGACCACTGGCCACTGCACTGTACAATGTCCATTGCTTTTACTTCTATGCAGTATGTTGTTGTGGATATTTGCATTATTTTATTAAAGTTATGGTTGTAAAATGCTGGACTTTTATCACTATATTTCCATTCTTAAGTGAGTGCCAAGGACAAATGAAAAGACTGTTCCTTTGGAGGTTGTTCAGGGTGCTCTGTGTTTGCTCTGCAGGAGGAAGCCGAGTCCACTGACGTAAAGGCTGCTGAACAGATAAAGAAACCTAAAGGACCAACACCTCAGCCTCGACAGAAACCAAAGAAAGAGAGCAAAAAGAAGCGATAAATATCTGTGTGCATGTCTGTGCGCGCGCGTGTGTGTATTACCTTGAGAATGTGTGTGTTGGGTCATTGCCAACGTTATAAGAATTTCGTTATTACAAGTATAAGCACTAATTTAAAACAATTAAAAAAAAATTAAAGAGGTGTGTTGAATTTGAGGCACAAGAAAAGGACCAACTACATCCTGTTCAACACATTACAAAAACAGCTCATTATCATGGTGCTTACCAACAGTTTATTTAGTTACACACCGTATTTCATTGGTTGTGTTTGTTATACATTTTCTTTTGTAACAATTGAATATCATTGGTTGAATTGTGTGTTAATAACAAGGAAGAAATAAATGTGTTCTGCAGCCATCCACCTTAGCAGTTTACAGTAATTGCCAAACCTCAGTTTCATGTAAAGAAATGAGAAGGACATCATGACCCAGCCTTCTGTATGACAAAACACATACCTTATAAAACTGTGGTTTGGTGTAGTAAATCATAATGCCATAGATGATACACCAAAGTCTCACATTGTCCAAAAGTACTAGGTTGTGTTTTCACTCTAAATTTGTAATACAACGACTGTATGTTTAAATGTATTCAAAATTCCGAGATAAACAGTGATCAGATTTTTGCTAATCGTTGATGCCCTCAGAAAGCCATTTGGTTGGGATGTTTATTACCTCGTTTAGATCCATTTAGCATTTTATTAAAGCGGTAGTATTGCACATATTTTACATGAACTGTCTTGTATAAAGTCTTGATTTTAATCCAAGTATTCCAGACAAATTCTGGCCATCTTGATGTGCATCTGGGCAGTTATTTTTAAATTAATTTTCATTTCAAAGGTTACTGGGACATAAGAATTGCACGTATAGAGTTACCAGTGAAATTAAAAAGCTTTTGGGAATTCTACTTCCAATATCAGCTATTGCAGAGTTCCGAGGGTTCTATGAGCGACATGGGCCTACATTATAGTGCCTCTGCTTGAATATATCTTCAAGTTAGTTGACTGTGTCATTGAAAAAAGTACTGGGATTGTACGTTTTACTTCTCCTTGAAGTAGTTTCAGTTCTCCGCTTCAACTACTGGAAACTTGATGCGGGAGTGTGGGAGAGGATATCAGCTGATGGATGATAAACACCGCTAAACGCCGACCGGGTTCCGGTATCACTGCACCAGCAAAAACTTACCATTAGGGAAGTGTGTGTCGCTTAGCAACCAATTTTCCCAGTCGGCTAAATGGAGCTTTTCAGCAAACGACAGACGTAAACATACAGGGCACGCGCGTAGTGTCTTATTACCTTTATTATAAGAATGTTTTCAGTCGTGACTAATAAAAAGATATTAGGAAAACCCAAACGGGGGGGGGGGGGGGTATTTCTGTCAACGCCGCGGCGAATTTAACAGCCGGCGTCGAGTTACGCAAGGTGACGTGGTGAATGCTCCCGACGTTACTGCGTAAAATCCAGCCTCCCCATATTTGCGCTCTCGTGTTTCGTTGGTGATGCATTATCTAGTGCCTTCCCCCCCACGAGGCATGTCTTTTCCACACTACACCACTCCTGCTTCGTCGCACCAATTTACCGCGCCGCCGACCCTTCCCAGCTGAACAGGTTTGCCCGGCCCACCGCAGCCGCTCGGCAGCTGTGCCCCCAACTCCTGAAAGCAGTCCCCGTCATGACCTCCTCCTCCTCCTCCTCCTGTGATTTTGCCGAAATTCGCTAAATGGGATTCGTGGCTGGCCCGGGGGTTCCACAGCAACTGGCCATCCGATTCCATTATTTTTCTAATGAGGACAGCCGTTCGGATCTAACACGGTTCCTCGCTGCGCGTCTCTGATTTTTGGGCTAAATCTCAAGACGCGTCAAAGGTAAGTTAATTAGAGCTCGTAGCAGTTTAGTGCGATAATGCAGATTTATTTCGGCATTCAATGTCGGCTTTTCTTTTTTTTCTTAAAAAAAATGTGTGCTGCGCATTTTTCTCTCACGGATGTTTCACACAGGGATTGATAAGCTACCCCCCTCTTCACTGACTTGTATTTTCATTGTTGCACAGGCCATTCACTCGCACATTTGGCCAGTGCCACTCAGTCTGTGCCAGGGCTAGGTTGTTGATGATTTACTACGCCCCGCAAAATGCAAAGCGTTTGTGCAAATCTCTCATTTTTGTCTTGGCGATCATCACGAACACTCGGGAAGACGCAGCAAATCGGCTGCGCACAGAAAATAAAGCCAACAATCCATCGAAATTCAAAATGGAGCTGTAGCAGCACCTGTTTTGGTTCATCAGGCCGCATATGCGCTGTATGTGAGCCAAACCCTACGACACTCACTGGAGCATTGTCCCTTTTTCATCATTATTATTATTTTTGTCCCGGTTCCCATTCACAAATCACTGTTTACGAGCCTTGTGGGCATCTGTTTAGCAAACACGAACAGTGAACGTTTTTGATTTCAATTTACGATTCTTTCTAATAGCAAAGACATTATCATTTTTGACAGCTGCTGATCCTGTAGGCAGCTACTACCCCACCCCGTGTTTCTTTGATAGCAGCTTTGCTCACAACAACTGGCGTTTAATCCCGTGGAAATAGAGTTTTAATTATGTGGTTAATCTATTTAGAGTTGGTTTGGGGGCTCTGGACGAGCTCCAGCTTATTTCCTTACGGCGGGGGATTCAGGTTTTTGGCTTGAATCATGGGAATGCTCAGTATTGGATGTTATCACTGGATGAAGATGCAAGCATTATGTTAGCAAATTATGAAAGAACATTTAAATACCTTGTTGAATTCTTACAAGTGCATTTCAAGCAAAAAGAGTGCAGGAAGTGGGTGAAAATGCATCATAATCCCCTCATGTGGCTGTGAAAGATTGAAATTTGATATAGGCCTGCAAAAATATATTTTTTTAATGATGTAGGTCTACTTTTTTACAAGTTGCAACAACCCTAGATATCGTCTTAATACCATTTGTTTTGTCCAGTCAACCGTCCAAAACATCAATTTACTCTCATAACAAAGAAAACCAGAAATAAATGACAGAAGTGAAAGCTTCTTTAATGTTCAGTTGTTCATTAAAACTGATTAACTGACTGCCAGTTAACAATCAGACAGGCTGTTGTGAAACAGTATGTGTGTAAAATGACTTTTTCAAGAGAACAGATTCAAAAAGCAGACCCCGACTTTATTTTAAAATCCTGTAAATAATAAAAAAAGGCTGTGTGTAAATGACCTAGAATGACACAGCGTCATTAATAAGATATATAAATTTGTAGACTGAACGACTGATGTCCTGTAAAATTAATCTGGCTACAGCAGCTGTTCCTTTTAGTCCGGATCGCTCGCTGCCAGAGCCACTAGTTAAAGATGGGCGGAAGTGGGTTTTATCAGCTGAGTGCCACAGTGCCCCTCTCCTCTCCACTTATCTTCCTCCACTGCTTTTTTTCCTCGCCTTTGCTGAGTATGTTGGCTTCTAAGGAAGAGGGAAGATGAATTGAGACAGCTAGACAGAGACTTTCACTTTCCAAAGTCTGTGGGATTTAATCATAAAAAGAAATGGGAGGAAAAAAAACACAGAAAATCTGATTTGGGGAGTTACAGGACTAAAATTGGAGAAGGCTCGATAGTTATGCGACTGCATTGTCTTTTTCTCTCTCTGACTTTTGCTATATATAGATGATCTGTACGTTACGCATGTATCTGTGGACTGCATTGTTCATCATGCAACATCTATATGGGAATAAGACAGCGACACTAATGTGCACATTTCCTCTCGTTTTAATCTTGAGGAACCATCATTACTACGCCCCCCACCACCACCACCCCCTCGCCTCCCCTCCTCTCCCCTCCCAAGGGCAAACCGTAATTTTCCCATTCAGCTGAAACATTGGCTGGAGCTGTCTTTCCTCTCTGCAGCACAGTGGCAACTGTTACCGTCTGTTGTGACTCAGTGAGGTTTGTCGTGGCCAAATGTGCTTATGTGCCTGACCAGACATGTTGAGCTTGTGAGCTCAGCCTTAGATGAAGGATTACGAAGGTTAATATGGAACTCCAAACGTTTTTTGGTTGTTTTTTTTTTTGGCAACCTATGCAAAATAAGAATGACAAAAATGAGAATGATTGCACTAAAACACTCCTCAACTGTAAGTAGTGCTTTAAAGCAGTCATTTTGTCAGAAATTCTTAGGATGGGTCCTTTGCATTATGGCTAATTATGCTATTTAACATTTAGGGACTTGATTGTGTCTACTGAAGAGATAGGTAAAGATGCTGTACACCAGAGAATATTGTTATTGGATGATCAAAGATTTAATGGTTATGTTACTATTTCAGTTTAAGTTGATGTAACAGACAACATCTGCAGTTTTTATTCTGTGCAAGAAAGCATTAAGGTTACTTGAAGCTCATCTACAGCTTCTGCATTATTATTCTGGTGAAGTGGATATCTTCCAGTCTTTTTCGGACTAAATTTTGTCATTGTTTTCTCAAACAATGGTTCCTTGTTGAGATGCGGGCAAAGGGTGGTTAAAAAAAAAAGTGGGGGTGGGGTGGGGGCTACAATGATTGTAAAGGCTGCATAATTAGGGATTCGGCTTGAAAATAATTGCAGAAAAACAGCACAGAAGTGTGCTTTGTTGAGTGTGTGTAGATTAAGATATCCGTGAGACAATGAATTACAATGCAGAATTTCAGTAGGACTAACAGATTAACAAGTTTAAAGGTTTAACAGACGGATGCTACCTGGAGACAAACAAAAGTGGTGTATTTTCTCATTAAAAGCTAATCCACAGCAGCAATGTCAATGGCAATCTATCCCAACTGCGTTGAGGAAGCAAAGCTGCAACACAGCTGACTGCAGAAAATGTCAGCTCTGTAGGGATGAGGTTGAAGTTGGGATTCCACCAAGTCATTCTTTGGGGAAAACAGATGTTTTTCCCTTACAAAAATATCGAAGAGCTGAACATATTTACTGATAAAGGCCAGCTTTGACCTGCTGTGCACACGAGGAAATGTCAGGTATGACTGGCATTGTGGATAACTGTGCACTTTGACCCCCTTGTCACTTACACTGGAATCAGTATGGACAGGGTGCAGCATAAAGTCTTTCAGTATGCACAGAATCATTCAGTAGTCTTTCAAGATGGATATGAAAATGATAAAAAGTCATATTGGGGCACATGTAAATTGAAACAAATATTGGCCTGATGCGATGCAGTTGAAGAGCATGAAAGGTGTTAGGACTTGTCTACTTTATATCCTGCATTCCATTTAGGCAGCTGGCTATTATTCCTTTACTTTTTTCTGCTTTCTCCACAGCTTTTGCTCCCTGTTGATGAGCAGAAAGTTTAGATTCATAGGGTATCAAATCCTT